AGAAGTGTGTGAAAGGAAATGCCTTTAGATGATTCGCTGATATGGCTGAAAGCAGTCGTGTGTAAAAAGGATCAGTAGATTGAAAGTGTTTCTTCTGCTGATGGCCACTCAGCAGATGAAGTTCAGCTGGAGCAGTTTGCACATGTAGGCCTATGCACAGTTCACAGACTGGGCCAGTGGCAGAGGACAAAGACTACAGAGGATTAATCTGTTGCTTCAGGCCCCCTAGACCCCACTGAATTATACTTGAGGTTTTCACAATGGAAAATCATCATGCCAAGCTTCATCTCTTGTTCACTGACTCGATTCTCTGTAAGACTACTGATAAGCTACAAGGATAGACTGGGAGTAGAAGGGGGAGCTACTAGAAGGCCAGGACTGGTATTTCCTCTATGTGAGTGGCTGCTTACATAAAATCATTACTTCATGTTTAAATTGTTTGAATTGTGTCACTCTGAAGCTGAAAACCTTTACCATTTATGCAGAACATGTGCTCCAGTTAATAGAGGTTAAAACATCATAACGACATGAATGGCAGGATTTTATTGATAGAAATTGAGTACAAGAGGTGTTTCCACATAGAGACGTTGATATATTCATTAAGGCTCTAACACTGATGTACACTCAAATATTCCTAATTTTTAAATAAACACAGGATGCAAATAAATAGAGCAAATTTTCAACTATGTCTTTATTTTCAAAGGGAAGCATTGAGAACATACTAAAAGGTAGAATGAAGTGTCTGAATATATTCCCTTGCTCATTCTAATGTACAGTATGTGCTAGTCCAAACATCCACTTACGATGTAATCAGGGTGCAAACTAAGGCATCAGCTCCCCTAAAAGCATGATTTGAGATATTTTGGGGGGTCTCTAAAATATTGACAGCATGCTTTAATGCTATTTATTTCTATATTTCTCTATCATCATGGATCCATGCCTAAAATCAGGAGCGTCAGACTTCATCCAGCCAGAGGGAACGATCACAAACCGTCCACAGCGGGCCGGTCCTCCTGGCCCTGTACCCTCCGCCGCGCCACTCCCTCTCCGGTACGGGTTGTGTCGCTAATACGACTGGTGCGCTGTGAACGGTTTATGATGGTTCCCTTTGGCTGGATGAATAGTACGCATGATCCATGCACTACTGCAGCTGGGGGCTCTCCACAGCGCCATGCTACTTTCTAATTCTTCCCTCTCACAGAGAAAAGAAATGTTGGGTCGCAGCTGCAACAGCCACAGCTGCTGTGTGAAGCGTGGCAAAGTGGCTACATATGATAATAATAATAATAATAATTAATAATAATAAGACAAACATGCCTGATACTTTCACAGTCAGCCCCACGCCTACATAATTGCACCTATTAATGATTCAGCAGTAATCCATACTTTTATTAACTCTGGCCATGGGATTGCAAAGAAGGAAAAACTAAAAGGCTGTTAGGTACATCTGGAATCACCTTAAGTTGTCTTTCACTCAGTGTCATTTAGTAAAGAAGTTTTCCTTGTTGATGGCCTCAAGTTGCACTAGTAGTCTAGCATGAGAAGTGGGAAACTAATTATGATGTCTTTGTTTTTAGCCAATGGCATGGCTGGTTGGTCAACCACATTGGTCCAGACTGAAATATCTCACTGACTACTGGATTGATTGCCAAGATTTTTTGGTACAGCTATTCATGGTCCCTGGAGGATGGGTCCTAATGTCACAACATTTATTTGATGGATATCATGAAATTTTGTACAGATGTTCATGCCCCCCCCCCCAGCATAAATTGTAATCACTTTGGTGATCCCCTGACTTTTTATCTAGTAACATCTTCAGGTTACTAGAGGTCCATTGTTATGTTTTTGACAAAATACCTGCAAAACTCATGAAATTCTCATCATCCTCAGTTGTACTTTGTATTTAGTGCTATTTAGCAAATTTTAGCAGAATTAAGAAGGTTAACATGATGAACATACTTGCTTAAAGGTTAAGTTTGAAATTGCTATTTTTGTCAAGGGAGTCTGGTGGCTTTGGCTTTTGGATATTTCTTGTTAAACAAAAACGATCTTAATAAAGGCTTATCTCTGTAAGGATACTTTCCACAATGTTGTCAAAACAATCTGAGCTTGACAGTGGCAAAAACAAGCACTTTATTGGACGTACTTTGACGGAGTGCCAGAAATTGCCTGCAAGGATTATGTTGCAGTTATGCTTCTGCTGACAGCAGCGTACTCGCTCAATACTGGACCAATTTAAAAAGTTTTGTCCAATTAGTCACATCAATCATCCATTATTCCTTGATGTCTTACAGCCACTCTCTGTTCAGCCATCCTCTCCTCGATGATCCATTCATTGAGCCAAACACCCAGTTTTAACCAGTTGATTATTAAGCTGAGCTTCTTTCCATGATGACTTGAATGATATTTCTTGTATTTCCCACTCTTCTCCTAACTACCGCGATTTTCTGTTGCCAGCAGATGTGTAGGATTCTTCTGTAGAATGCTGATGCTCTTCCAGATGTTCTTGAATCTGGCCATGACTCCCATTGCCTGATTCCTGTCTTTATCCCCTTGCTGCAGTCATTATCCCAGGTCAGTGGACTGTCAAGGTACACCAACTCAGAGACGTTTTCCATCTTGCTTCCCCCCAACCTCTAGTTGCTAAACTAGTCACATAGATGCAAAAATATATGAATTTATTTATTTAATAATTATATTTTGTCATGTCATTTATATAGAAAGAGAAAACTGCAAAACATATGTACAAGTAAAGCTATTACATAACAATCAAAAACAGGATTGGAAGGATTAGTCAGTAATAGTAGTAGGCTATGTTTTATGAAATGTAAATTGCTCAAACATATTTGGAATAAAATTAATAAAATAAAATTAATTATTATATATTATTAATTATTAAATTTATATTTAATATATATAATGATTATTATTACTTTTATTTAATAATTACTAATTGAATATAACTTTATATTCACCTCAGGGCACCACTCTTAAACAAGAGAACTGATATACTGTTTATTAATTCTGAGCTGGTTGCAGGGATCTTACACGGGCCTTCGTAACGTGGCTGTAAGATCAGAGAGTTCTGTCCAAGCAGGCCACGCTGGAAGACCACTGTGGCCGCCGGGTCGGTCCAGGGTCACATCCAGAAGATGAGCGGAGAAGAAGAGGCGAGGGAAGAAGAGAGAGCGAGCACAAGTGCTGTGGTTTTTATCAATGAGGTGAAGTCAGAGGTCCCAGGTCACTGAACATCGTCTTTAGTCTCTAGGCTGAGTTCACACTTCCGTGTGACTTTCTGGGGATTCCTGGGAAATTGAGTTCAATGACTCACAGGAAAGTTCAATTATGATCGCAAACAACTTCATCTGTTAGGTCCCTGTGATCCCAAGAAATGCTTTAAATATATAAATAAATAATGATTTTCACTTTTTCAGAGTAGTGAGCATCATGTCTTTGCAGTTGACCCATGGGATATCTTAAGGATCATTCTATACTGGCATTTGCATTATTTTACACTGCGGTTTGCCTGAGGCCTGGCTTAGTTGCAGAGAGGAATGAGGTCACATATGGCAAATGGATTCCTGATATTTAACCCATTAAGTGATTTATTTTTCTTAGAGCCCCCTTTGGCTAAACATGTCTATTGAACTGGCTACTCAACTCGAGCTCCTTATCTGCATCCTGGATTTCTTAAAACTCAATAACACCAACTAATTATAAAAAAAAAAAACACATTGTCACTGACTTTGATAGAAGAGCACATTAGCAGCAGTTCTTAATCACGATTGAAACATTTCACATTTCTTCAGTTGGATCTGCTGCTGTTATGTAAGCTACATTAAGCAAATTAGTTTGTAGTTCAAAAATGACCTGAACATTTCAAGCTGCTTTTTCTTCTTGGCCTATCAGTCATTCCTGTTTTGTTTCACTAGTAGTCCCGTTATCCGAAAGCCCCATGGATCATTAATCACTTTTCCAATTAAAAATGTCTTCCAATTCTTCTTAGCCTTTGCTAGACCCACCTCTGCACTAGCTTTGCACTAGTCCAGCGTGGGAGAGAAATCCAAATTCTACCAAATATTTCTTTACGCTCCTTTTGAAATACAGTCAACCATTATGTCATCGAATGTGGAGCAGAGCCACTGTGATATGCTAAGTGTTTTCAATCACAGCAAGAGCCAGCCAGAGAGAGAGAGAGAGAGAGAGACTTAAATGAAAATGAATGGATTTTTTCACTGAAATGGTAGCTGGCCGGTGCAGCAGACGCACTCCTCCAGCCAGAAAGCCCAACACTGTCACAGAGTGCTGCACTTGTCACACACACAGCTCTTGTTCTATCAGTGCCATCAAACACAGACAGATGGTTAATTGCTCCTCTGTGTGGGTGCACGCACGTGCGCCTGTGTGTGTGCGTGTGTCATCTCAGCAGATCTAAATATGGGCCTGTCTAGGTGTGTGCTTCCAAGTCCACCTGCACTCCTCTGACATTTGAGGACATGTATGGCATCTAAATTTACAGTAACAAACCAAAAGCAACATTTCTCGTCAGGTTTTCTTTTTTTTTTTTTAATCAAGGTATTCATCCCTGCAAGCTCCTGGAGCTCAAACAACACAGGCTTTACTCTCTAAAAGGATGATTAATACAAAACTAGCACATAAATGCTACTTCCCGCATTAGTATTGTGACAGTGGGAAAAACATGCAGACCTCTCATTATTGCTTTGAGAGCTGAAAGTGAAATATTCTAAATTACTCTGCTTTGTGTACGGTGGGTCACAGTGGCAGATAAAAGCTTTTGTGATGGATAATGGGCATTGAAAGCTGCAGCCTGAAACCAGACAGCGATAGAAAAGAGAGGTTTTCAAATGGTGACAGATTTGTAGGGGTGATGTGGTGACACAACTGAGAAATAACTGCTCTATGTATACAGTGACTTCACTTTGCACAGTGCCCAAACTTAAACCTGAGGAATGTCAGCAAAGTAAAAACAGCGTCCTTACCAGCTATGATGGGGGCCAGGCGGAAGATATCTGAGAGCCGGCTGTTGACTGGTTCATACGGAGAGTATTCAAGCAAATCATTACCTGCATGGGAAAAAATGATTGTCAACAACATGTGCTTGAAATTGTGAGTCTATATATGTGTTTAAACATAATGTGGGTGGATGTTATCTGATACTCTTTTAACAATGATTCAAAATGGACAATTGGATTTTCCTGTTAATTACTCATATTGCATATATGAGTACTTATTTTGTATGTATACTACATAGTAATATGTTGTCATGTAATGACACAAAATGCATTTGTATAAGGTTAAGCTAATATAATTGTACTTGTAAACCAATCTCCTGAACAGGCGTGCAATGTGAGAAGAGGTTGCATCATTACATGTGCCACAGCATGAATGGCACTGTGGGATTGTAAATACAATAGTTCAAAATACAATAGTGAAACATTTGCTCTGAAAGCACGTTATCAGCTCAGATTCCTAAAAAGACCAGTAGGCTTCTGAACGTTGCTTATCGCAACTTGAGCGATTTGCAGGAAAAGGATGATTATGTCAATTTGTCAGCGACAGTAACAGTATGTTTACTGAATTACTTACAAACTGAGGTCCTTGTATTTCCCTTTTAAGCCACTTTAAACTTCTACTGCACTCTATTTCAGATGCAAATATTGTACTTTTTACTTCACTGCATTTATCTGACCTGTGTTGTGCAGTTTCAGATTTCACACACAAAGCACACAACATATATGATGAGTTTATTAAAGAATGCATTATTACAGATTAAACTACCTACCAGCAGTAACCACCACAACACTGACACTTAATGTCAGTGATGATTATCCAGTAGTATTCACTTATAGCTTAATATAAAACCAACCTTCGTTGGATAACTATGACCTGGATGACTGAGAATCTTCATAGACATCTTAATATAAAACAGTGACAGGGGTCATTCTGCACTGTCCTTTTTATTTTGACAATTAAAATATATTTTTCTGATTATATTTCTGTACTTACACTTAAGTAAAATTTTTAGTGCAGGACTTGCAGCCTACTTAATATTGATTTTTTTTTCTTCTGGCAAGAAAAAAGGACGGGTAGCCTATACTTCTTCCACCACCATAAATGCCTTGGCTACTTTTATAGTCAGCTCATTGATCAGTCAGATAACGATTCATAGTTTGCTCTGAATCAGTGCATACCCTGTAAACTCTGAAATATGCTCCAAAAGATCCGGAGACAGTTCTTCTCCTTCTTCATGCCTCTTCTACACCTGCAGTTATAGAGGGGGCTCTGCTTCATGGCATCTATTGCGCTGCGGCACTCGCCCTGCGCCTCGGGACCGGTGACCGCACTGAAGTTGCTCTCCCTTCCCGCCACGCACTGCCTCATGGTCCGGTACTTGGTGCTGCAGCTGTACTCCTTTAGACACTGCTCACTGGCCTTCACGCAGTCCAGGCGCACGGACCGGGAGGCTGAGCTGCCGTCACCCCTCAAGGTGAACACTGAGTCTGGGAGTTACAAGAATGAAGTCAGATTTGTATTTACGATTTGAACTCATTTGTCGACATTGTTCTACACACCACAGGTTAGCCGGCTACTCTACTGTAGGCTACTGTTGCCAAATATTACACAAAGATGCACTGAGCGTTAGACAAACTTTCCGAACCCTCGATGTGCGCAATCGTGCGTCAACAATGGGAACAAATGAAACAAAAATGAATGTGTTTGGCGAGGGATGTGCCTCCCTCACTGCCACTGTTTGCTGCATTTATTGAGTTGAACTGCAAAGGAACAGGTGCCGTTTTAAAACATGTATAAGCATAGGCCTATATTATAGCCTAAACACAGAAATTCCAAAGATGAAAGCGTGACTTACCCAGAAAGGACAATATAATGACGAAAGTTGTTAAAATCATTGCGCTTAAGGAGATTCCGTATGTGAGATTTAAAGATGTGTTTAAAGAAAATGTCAAGCGAACTTGTCACTCAGAACCGCGTTACTTCGGACTGCACATTATGTGAGTTCAGGTGACGATGCATCCTGTAGATCCAACAGTGAGAATCCCAACTCCCGACCTGAGACCAGCAGCTAATACCACATCGTGCAGACCTGCAGGAGTTTCGGGCGAGAAAAAAAGACAAGTGAGACGCAGAGAAACGCGCCGGTGGTGGACCATTTCCACTTCACTCCGCTCCCGTCAGCTCCTCTGTCTGACCGCTGCTCTGGCACACAGACTGACCCGACACAGGAGCTGCCACGGACAAAACTTTACACACGCGGTAAAACTCTAAACCAATCAGTTCAACTTAACAAAGGAATTCATTCAACTTTAACTCTGCATCACAGCCCTGGCCGGACTGAAAGCGCGTTTTAAATTATACATCCCCAAAAAAGCTGGAAAAATACATTCCGTTTAGGAGGTGGAAAGTCAAAACAACTCCGTTTGATGCGGACTGTTCTCCTCTCTGATGAAACACTGAGAGGCTGGAGAGGCTACGCGTGAAGGCGTGACGTCATGCGACTATGCGCACAATAACCATAAACCCATTAAGAGCCTCAATTTACATCAAACTGCTAAGACAGCCAAAAGAAATTGTGTTGGCCAGCAGCGAGCGGGGATAGAGCTGTAAGAACATTTCATCCGGATGGATTTCACTTATTAACCCTGAGGAAAATCAACATTTATAACAGCTCATTTACAATCTATCAAACAGCTAAATTGCAATCATTTTAAAGTGTCTCAGTATCTCACTGAAGGAATTTTAAGTCTTTGTCTTCTCAGCTCAGATCTATTAATAGCCTGCAGCACTTTAATATGAGGCAGTGGGTTTACAACTGTCTTGTTTTTGTAGGATGCTTAAAAGTTTCAAGGTATTTCACTCCCTCAAATTGAATAGCACAAATGGTAGGCTAAGAGGAATTGGGTAGGAAAAAAAAATCATATTGCTTCTTTATCTGAAATTGCAGTTACCATATAAATTGTGACAACTGCTGACAGAACTTTTCCCATCAAAGTTTGTTTTTCTGCACTGAAAAAAAAATCGGATTTAGAGAATGAGTGAAAAATGAGACTCTGGCACTCAATAATTTATGTGTACAGAATTTTGGGACCCTCCAGCTTGCTTTGCAGTCCAGAGATTCTGCACAACACACTATTTAGGTGCCAATATACCCCGCCAAAACCCCACCCCTATCTACTTGCCTTACATTTACAGTACATATTGTGTTTGATTACTAGATTAAAATGTTATGTACAAGATTGTTATGAAATCTATAGGAAAATGCTTGAATATGTCAGTATTTTTGTCCATGACTAGTAAGAAGGAAACTATGAAACCCAATTAATGCGGGATGTATCCTTTTTTCCTCGATTCCATCTGTATGGGACCAAATGTAGCTTGTTACAGATGCCACAAGATTAACAGGTTTAACTGTAGATATTGTGTCCCTATCCCCAGGCAGTACTGCTATATGCGGCTTAGAGGCAGGTTTTCTGCTGGGCCTAAGGCATTCTGGGTAGGCACATTAGGAAACTCTCACTTAGTTTGTAACCAGAAAAGGGGGAATTTTCAAAGCTCTATATGGCCAACATCAAATAAATTAATCACAATTAATACTGTATAATATTTTATACATTTAAAATCATTGAACAGACACTGCATTAATGGTTAGGGAGGCATGCTGCAGCAGCATTACTAATAACAAACATGTCCTAAATAATACTATTAATGTATTATATTTAGGAACTGCAGTTAAGACAATAAGGTACCGTCAAGTGTTTAACCCCACAACCAAAACACAAGCTTGGAACCTTGGAAGCTTGTATGTGGATGTACCAAATGTATATGGTTAAAAGAAAAAAAAATCAATTATCCATATATCACCAGAAAGAAACTAAAGCTGCACAATCCCTGATATTTTATAATAAAAATTGTTAATTAGCATCTGGCTCTACATAAGAATACACACAGGCCATTTATTCAAGTACTTCTGAGTACAGTCAGCACAAGTAACTAGGGAAAATGTTCATACAACTCTCTTGCAATGTCGAAAAACTTTTAAGAACAAAGCAAAAAAAAAAAACTCAATTAATGACCCGTCAACTAATTGTTTACCAGATGTCATCAAAATCTCTCTTTCCAGTTTATTTGAGATATTGCACCAAAGAAATGTGACTGAGTGTGTCTTGCCTTGATTTATAATATTCTCAACTTGAAGAAAACATCTGTGCTGGTGCTAAACAATGAATGCTGTGCAAGACACAGGCCAACTGCCTCATCCTTGGTGATCTTCAAGCAGGATGTAGAAAGCAGTGCAGGTGCAGTGGAGGACAAGACAGCGCTTCTCTCTCCCTGATGGAGTATTCCTCCGTCAGAGAGTGCATAAGGGCCAATACATATGGTGGGGAAAAGTTTATATAATGTAACGCACATCACCATCACAGCAACCTCTCTGCTGCCATTATGTTTGAATTGCAGAGCTGCCAAGACAAGCCTGTAGAAAAAACAGATTATGTAGTTTAAACGTTGTACATGTGTGAATGATCCCAGTAGAGACTATACAATACAAGAAACATTTTACAAATTTGAGGCAACACTATCACCCTGTGACAAAAAAGTGCCATTAGCCATTGACAGGACAGAATATTCAGATACAATAAATGCCAGTTTATTATGTACAACAAGCTAAAATAAATGCAGTCCTATACAACAGCCCTGCAATAAATTCTATCTTGATGATGGTTATAATGATGTTGTTTTTTGTGACTTGTATAACGCATTGTTCATGTGTTTTTACTCTTTATCTTGAAAAGGGACTAAAACGTCAGCTAAAAAAAGAGATTCATACACGAGTGAGCTGGAGAATATAACACATTTTTCAAAACTTAATTTTTACTGGGACCAAAATTAACCAATCACCTACGAGCACTACTAAAGATTGGACCACTAATAATTTTCAGCCACATACTGGACAAGGTTGTGTTGTACTTGGTTTCAGCGGGCCGTGTTTCACCTTCACATCTGTATCTCGATTAGAGTGGAAGCTGCAGTCCAGTACAGGTGGTAATAATGGCTGGCCTCTACATTTTCTGCAGATCAGTTTCAGAACAGAAACTAAATGTTCAAAAGAAAATATAACTTTAACAACAGCCAAAAACAAAATGAAACTACCAACAGCCCTGCCATAAAATCTACCTGTGCAAAGCTTACAGTGCTTATGTTTTGCTAATATTCAGTCTGCGATGTGTTCATTCACTGATGTTAATTACTGAGGTCATAGTCATTGTGTTGAGTACAGCTAATGCTAGATATAGGAGTAAAGTTACACACTGCCACTGACGCTAAAAAATATATATTATTGATTAAAAATAGTACCTAATGTAAAGTATCAGTACATACAGTACTCATTAAAAGCATATAATGCATCTGTGAGTCGCGAGGGAGGACAGCGGGGGGTCCAGTAATTGCATGAGGCAGCCCCCCCCGCCACCTTAGCAACGCCTCTGAAATTATTGCCGCTCAGCCTCACTACCACTTAGGCTACTACTGGACATTGAGCTGAGGCAGAGTCAAGGACACCAACTTCCTTATCTGATGTAATATGACATGATGTTGAAAAATAAGTGTTTTGAAGAGTTTTGCTCAAAATTGCCTATTTTCACTCTGACTTTGTGCCCTTTTGTCTTGTAAAACGTAAAAAATCCTGCATTCACTTTTCAAAGGATTATTGTCAGACAAGGTAAGTATAACTTTTGTAAAGAAAAAAAATAAAATATTAATCTGCAAGTTGCACTTTAAGGGTAAACACAGAGGCTCTCTTCATATACCAGATGCCATTTGCTGCACGTATAAAGAGTGTGGTTATTGTTAAGGCTGCCATCAAACTAAATTCATCAAAATACTACATGTGTCAGGATCTGGGCGGCTTACACATTGAAACATTGTGGATACAACTGTGCCATCCTGTCAAATTCACAGAACAACAGCCCTTTCAGTGCCAGAGCACCGGTCAACAATTTATTATCCTCTTTATTCTCTTTTGATTGCCTTAGGCTGCTCTGCTGCCGCACCAACGTTATTGTCCTCATGTGTAAAAACTAACCAAAGAGTAAGAGGAACAGTGCAGTTATATCAAGTCGAAGAACATGCTCACTTATTTACAGTATATCGTAGAAAAATGGATGAGCAGAGCATGTTGGAAAGACATATAACTATCTTTTATATATATCTCAGTATGAGGAAAAAGAAAATGGGGAAAACCTCATTATGGAAAAGAGTCAGTTCAGAGAGGGATCCCCACAAGCCAGATGAACGTGAGACAAAACTGTAATTTTTAAGGTTGAATGTTTTGATTTGGCCTGAGGAAACTTTAAATTAATTAGCCTATTGCCTCCAAAATAATGACTGCTGTAATAGTGATTGTATTATTCATCTACTCTTTCATGCCATTTTTTTCTGTGAAAAGTATTAATTTGTAATAGTATTATAGATTTTTTTGCTTCGCTTTTGCAACATCTAATATTGTATATGAATAGTCTGAATAAAGAAAAAGTGTTTAAGCGGCAGGGAGTTAGCCAGCAAATTGAATCGATTGGAGCATGACTGATTAATTAACTGGGAGTACCCAGTGGATTACATTAGTATCATAATAAAAACTTATCTGACTTGATGTAATTCATGTCAGATTTCCCATTTTTAGTAAATGTACATTGATTTGTCTATTTATTGTGTATAGATTCAAGAATTAGAAGGCATTTTGTTGCTTCATACAGGCTTACTATCACTTCAGTGCTGTGCATCGACCAGCTCTCATACTGTCCCAGGAGTTTTTTCTTGAGCAATTTATATTCAGTTGTATTGTTAACCACATGGCCTTCATCTCTAATGAAGTGTTTAGAGGATATTGGATGGGCCCTTGTAAACGCATTGGGCTATTAGACCAATAAGTCAATATCTCTCTGTAGAGCCTGAGCTGTGCAAATGCTTCAACCCATAGACAGTGCTACTCATTAAATGTGTATTTGCTACATACTGGGCTTGTTGAATTGGATATCAGAAGTGAATAAAATCTTTGTTCATTTTTTAAAAGTTAAATAGTTTTTGACTGGTTTGGCAATGTTGGATGTAAAATGTTAAATGTAAACTTCCAATATCATTGCCTCGTGCCACTATCACTCAGTGAAAGCATATTTATCACACAACACATCTAAATAACCATAGAATGATTTAGTGCTAATTAGGATGTAATTGATTATTGTTCATTAAAGCCCCCATGGAGGTGAGGAAGACATCAGTTGTTACCATGGGCAGTAGCTAATGTTGTATTTCCTGTATATGATATGGCCTACTTAAACAAATTAAAAATCTATACAGAATCAGCAACAGGAAGAGGCTCAAGCTCTGAGGGCTCTTGCTCTTTATTACCTTGCAAAAGCTCTCTCT